TGGGTCGCAGCATCCACAGAAGAGGTGAGAGGAGGCTTAATTGAGGCCTCCCCCGTCTGCACGCCTCGATGAATAAACTGAGATGACACGCAAGCGAGGCAACTGTCGCACGTATTGAACTGGTTGGCAGTAGGAAGAAGCGCATGCTTGCAGGAACACACCGACTCTTCATCGACTTCTAATCGTTTAGAAGAGCACCGGTCGGGCGAAAGCGTTGTGGTCTTTGAATGCTCTCCAGCAGGGTTGGATATGTCAGAGGCGGCAACATCCAGTTTCTTCTTTCTTCCAGCTGCCAGCCGTTTGGCAACGGTTTCGACATCAACCGCGAGATGGTTCAGATCGGCAGCTCCTATGAACATAGAGTCGTGAGTAGAACCAAAAGATAACTTCAGTCAAGTGATGTACTATATATTTATAGGACCTTTTAACTAAGCAGGCCCTAAGATCGTGTAAGGTACGGATAATAACGGTGGTGTACAGCGCACTTAAAAAGACAAAACTGGTCACGTTCGGGGTTGTTTTGTAGGCTGCCCGTGTAATTTGAATTTCTTTTAAGAAAAGGAGAAGGAGAATCCCAGTAAGGATATACTGGTTTTGGTAATGATTCGTCCAAATAAAAAAAAACACAAGGTTATGGGACACTAAGCATGGAAAATAAAGGAGTGATCAGTGTTAACCTATGTAGGGAATCGAATGTACTAAAGACTTGTACATCGTCAATCACAATCTTTCTTTCTATCCCCTCAACGAAATACCAGACCTTTAGCTTCGATGATTGATATTGGGTCCTCTTAGAACCAGAAGCGGGCTTAATAGACACAGATTTGGTAAATAAGCCCCATTAAGAAGTCGCAGTCTGTTTGTCAATCTTAAGGAGCAACAATCCTGCCAAATAATAAATGCGAAGCCAACACTTTAAGAGTGATCGAAGAAATTTATTCATTGTCAGGTTGATTATTGTGAGGAAGGCTACAACTCCGGTGACAATAGGTAGACACAACAGTTGAAAAGTTCATTCGGAAATGCTTTTTATTCCAGCCTACCACAACAGCGGTCAGAATTTATTCAGACAGTAATGATAAATTTACTTAGATAGTTTGAGATATAAGCTAAAAATGCTATAAATCAAGTAATAGTTAGTCATGGTTTAAGATGAGGAAGGAGTGACAGTTAAAAGATCATTCTCGCTTATTGTCAATGACGGTGACAAATGTTTGCGTCCATTGCGAGCTTCAATATAAACGACCGTATGAAAGCATTGATCCGAAATATACATCGGTTAACCTGTCGAGGCAGAATAAAAAGTCTCAATAATCTACTGGAAATCGCAAATCTATTGTAATTGAACTAGTTGATACAAACGCAATAAGAGATCCAGGAGCATTGGACAATCTCTAATAAAATAGGTACGATGATTAACTGCTACGTATAGGTTCCTGTCGCCTGTCCCCTGTTCCTAATTCCTCCTTTCCTTAAAGAAGGCTTGCGCATAGCAAAAGTAGGTCATGACACCATCTACCTTAAGCTGGCCTCTATCTTTCCGGACACCAGAGTAGGACAGAGCGATAGTTGTCTGTGTGAAAAACTGACCACATTTGAGCAACGCGAGTCAAGTGAACAATAACTATCTGGACTTAGCTATCTTCTGAAGTAAGGACAGAAAGTAACGTTATAATAAAAGCATTTGATGAAATTAAAATTTAAAACAGGCGTATACGGCAGGAATTATTGACATCAATACATTTCGAGACAGCTTCTCAGCTGCATCCTGTCGCTGCATGATGATAGTAAAGAAGAGAACATACAAGATTTTGAAATTTCACAGAATTAATGGCATGACAGCAAGGACCGTGGCTCAATTTAAATAATAATCGATAAAAGACACTGCATTAAGTCAACGTATAGGAATGAAGGGGGAGTGGGTGAGGGACGTTAACGAAAATCACTTGGGGGTTAAAAAAAGTAACCAATTACCAGGGTAATTGGAGTTTGGCCACATGGTCAAGCTGCTTGCATAGGTCAGGTTTCTCCCGCCGTACGTAGGCAGCTTCTAAATAGCGCAGAGTTCGATTTGTTCGGGCCCGAACAAGTACTCGAAACGTTGTTTTGACGTCGACAGAATGACCGCTGTCTAGTATATGCTTGGTAATAGAGGACCGTGGTACTCTGCCTTCCTGCTTGAAAAGCCAGTTGGACAAGTGCTCAGCGGCCCTGGCTGCCAGTTGCCTTTGCGTACGCCCAATGTACTTGCATCCGCAAGTACATGTGAATTCGTAAACACAATTTGAGGTGGCGTGCAATGGCAAGGCATCATTTGCCCATTTTACTGGAATGCTTTTAGTGGGACTTAAGAAGACGAGTTCTGCTGCGTTGTAGGTCTTTTCTATAGTACAACGCAACCGTCGCTTGATTGTATTGGAAATGTCATTCCCCTTAAAGGGTAAAGATATGACGGCTTTTTTTTGGAACTGACTGTTCTAAAAAGTTTGGTCGTAGTGAATTACTATACTTCTGAATGAAGCGTGCAGGATAGCCACAGTTGAGTCGGGCTGATTTAATGCAGGAAAGCTCTGCAGGCAGGGTCTCGATAGAGCAAATGTTCCTTGCTCGTTGAAAGAGGGTATTTACTAGACTTCGCTTCCACTGAATTGGCACAAAACTCATGAAATGTAGGTATTGCCCTTTTCAGGTATTTTTGTGAAAAACCGAGAGCCCCAGTGAACCGTCATCCTCTCTAAACATGAGGTAATCTAGGAAGGATAGCTTGTTGTGTTGCTCTGTTTCCATTGTGAATTTAATTTTAAGATGTAGAGTATTCATAAAACTGAGGTCATCCGTCTTCCTTAGAATCAACGATTGTGAATATAT